TCTAAACAGTCTGTCATGGTTGTATCTGAGCTAGTCTGCAAGCACCAGCTTTTCATGTGTGTTTTCTGATGCCAGCCACTTAGGCCTTCAGGAAAGCAGACAGGGAGCTCTTTGTTTCCATCAAAGTTAAGTGTTTAATGTCCATTTCTGTGTACTCGGCCTCTACTAGCCTCCTCTGCAAGACAAAATAGTATTCCCTCATGTCCATTATTGGTTTTTTTTGGCAAATTTACATCCTGCTACTACTGCTGTGTTAAATCACAGGTTCTTGTTCACTGCATTCACTGCATAGACCCTTGGGGCCAAGAGCTGACTCCTGCTCTGGCCGTATGAGTAGCTTGTAAAATTGTCCCAAACAGGTGCCCAAGGATTTCCTCAGCCTTACACCACTCATTCTCATGCTTACCCTCCCTGATGGATGGCATAGCATGTTGAGATTGTGTTACAGCCTGTGGCACTGATAAGAATATGGTTCTCTTCTTCCTGGTAGCAGTTGCAAGTGGATTCTTGTAGGCAGCCAAGACTGAAAGCAGCCCTGATGTTTGTTATTGTAGGTCTTGACTATAGCAGAGAAGGCAGAGGTAAGGATGGCACTAAGGCCACTTTAGATGTTAGATCTGTGAGCTACACTTTATGGACCACTTTTTAAATATAATGAAATTGGTTTTTTATATGACTTTATAAGGATACGAGTATGTATGTATATGTATATATATAACTCGGGGAATGTAAATTCTGACAGGACAGATACATATCTGTATAATGATGTATTATACATTTCTGTGTAATTCTCGTTCTGAAACGTGCACATTGAAGCAAAAATAGAACCTTTCCATTAAAAACAAGTGCATGCCCAAGACTGCCTTGTTTAAGCACTGGTAGTTTTAAGAGTTAACTGTGAGATAGGTTAAGGGATTTAGACCAGTAGAAATTAAAAACTTCCATCACCTAACCTTAGGAGCAAGTTGAGCTTCAAGTGTGAAATTCAGACCCCCAGTTAGTTACTCGGTCTCCCTCTCAAATACAGAGCAGGTGAAGTTGGAAGTGACCTCAGGAGGTCATTCTATCCACCTCCCTTGCTCAAACACAGCTGCCAAGAGCTAGTTGCCTAGGTGTATGTCCAGATGCATTTTGTGTATATCCAGGAATGGAGAGTCTACAACTTTTCTGGGCAAGCTGTTGTATTGCTTGCTCACCCACGCAGTAAAAGGGTTTTTTCATATGAAGCCTCTGCTCTTTCAGTGCCTCTTCCCTCTTGAATAGATGACACAGATGTCATTGCTAATTCATACAGGGGTTTACAGCTTAAAATACAAGAAGACCTTCAATTTATAATATTAATTAACAAATTTTTGTGTTTGAATAAAAGCTGAGGAAGAGCATGACTCCAGACCTATTGTTAGAAAACTTAGACTGAAAAGATGTGTGTCAGTATCTATTTTATGGACCACATAATCTAAATACACAAAGTGATGTGGGAAAAAAGATTACAAATTCATCCCCATGTTCAAGAAATTGAACCTGAGTCTTCTGCACTTCAGTAAGTGCACTTGGAGTACCTGCTGTGGTTTATTGCTACTTTTTGCATGGCACTGGCTTTTCTCAAAGTCTACAAAAAGCCAGATAATTTTCCTAGGGCAGTACTAGGCTGAAACTACTATGCACTGCTTTCCAGTGAGGCTTCTCACCATACCTGGAGTACCTGACTGTCCAGGTAACTCTTGGTTCACTTGGAATCTAGGCAGAACAAGCTCCTCAAGACTGTCATGTGAATGGAAGAATCATTCACACCTTGCCACAATGACCACATATTGCCTAGAGAAAAATTGTCTGTGTCTAGTTTTACCTCCTGTGTGGAGGTAATGTAATAGAAACACCAGTGGAACTCTGCAATAAATGGTCACTTCTAAGCCCTGAATTGTCCACTTATGTTATGGTATTGTCTTGAGTACTTGTCTTGGAAAGGTTAATTGAGAGGCACAGTAGATGCCCAAGCTTGATGTAGACCAACACTGTAACCCAGAACCCTAGAGAAAGGGATTAACTTGACCACCAAAGACAAGAAGGCCACAGTAGGATGTACACCTCTGTTCTTTGGAAATCAAGCATCCATCTACCTATTTAGACTCATGAAAGAAGAGAATACGTAGCTGACTGTGGAAAAAGACTGACATTTTTCTTAGTTTTTATTAATGGTCCAACTCAGCAGGTTTATCTGCAGTCGATCTTCTGTGTAAATTGAGTCTGGGCAGACTTCTCTTCCTTTGTTGTTCAAATACGCACAGATTTTAGAATATCTCTATTCAGGCTTTATTCTTAATCCTCAAATTTAAATAAAGGTAATCACATAATGGCACAGCCATGAATAGTTTTTCTAATGTTCATGTCTGTCAGTCAGTTTTATGTTCTGTCTACTTATAAAGGTGTCTGTATCCTACTATAAATAAGGCTCTGTACAAAAACACTTTGAATTTATGTGTGTTGGCTTCATTTTCAACATGTTGCTCTGTGTTAGTCTTTCTGTCTTTAAAGCAGATTTTTGCTTTTCCGTCTACTGTCCTACTGTCTACTGAGCTTACTGTCTGGTATTTAAAAACTGCCTAAATAGAAAAAAAAATTAATGTTATATTGTAGTAGTGTATGCTGTGTTCATGCAAAGTTTGAAAGTAGGAGAAATTCAGTGTTTTATCAATTGCACAAAAGTTGCCGGTAATTCTGTGTGGTAACTAGTTTTCAGTGTTTGGTATAATTCAACTATGTATTTTATCATCAGTGTAATATATGCACAGTATTTCTTAAAAAACTCAGTATTTCTTAAAATAAGAAAGTTTCCTATGTGAATACTGAACCTTTTGTGATGTATAAAACTCATAAAAAGTGGTCACAACGCTGTTGTGTATATCCTGTGTGCTGATGGAGAACTGTAAGAGTTAAGCTCTGATTCCAGAAATTACCTAGATGTAATAAAACAGGGCTTCCAAAGAGTCTCGTCAAAGGGAACAGAAGAGAAACCTACACTGGAACTGTCATATTGTCAAAAACAGCACTGCTGATATTTTCTGTCTCTATATTGCCCCATGAAATCCTCCTAGAGATAATCATCTTAATTATATTGATCTTTTGGGAATACTGATAAAGTTGGATGATAATGAGCTGTTAGCTGAGCAGGGGCAGCTGTAAGCCTTTCATGGACTTTTTCCAAATTCCTAAAAATATCAAGAGAAGAAAATGCAGGTAGCATCATGCTCTTTCTCTAGTAATACCCTCTTTGCTGAGTCTTTTTTCAGCTCATTATCCCGACATTCATCTCAGTATCCGGACATTCATCAGCATACTTTGTTTTTTCATAAAGGCTACAAAAGAGTTCTTTGCCAAATTCTTCTCTAAGTCATGTTTTGTGTGAAAAGAAAATGTTAAATCCTCAGAAGGATAGAGAATACAGTTTTAGCTGAGAGTTCTGCAAATTAGTGCAGTCCGTAATGCCTTTTTTTTTTTTTTTTCTGGTGTGCTTGATCTGTAGGAAATTTATATCTCATCTCCAGGAATGCCTGCATGAATACTAACATATATCATTTTTGTGCCTTTAATTATTGGGTTGTTGTGTTTTGTTTGTTTGGGTTTGTATTTTTAGTTTGGACACAATACAAAATAAGTCATGATGTCAAATCCCTCAGATTCTTTAAATGGTGGCCAGAAGAACTGCTGTTACACATGCACTCCCTTGGTATTGTACTTAATACTTACTTAAGTTTACTGTATTCTGATAGAACTTTGGCCATGCTCCACAAAACTTGGCAGCTGTCTGCTTGGATTACATATAGTAGCAAATTAAATAAGACAACATGGTAGTATTTGTTTATAAATATATGCCAGTGAAGCAACATAGGTAGACAATTCCACGGGTACACACAAGCCATACAATCATATTATTGTAAATAACAGATTCACAGGAACCAATGTAACTATTAGCTGCCATGTTCTTCTGTATTTACACCAGCGTGAGTGAAAGTTTAATGATCGTTCTGTTTTTCTCAGGTAAGAGAAGACTGAAACATTTACATTTGTCAAGTTTTAGTATATAAAATTGGAATACTTTAATATTGATGAATAAAATACAGAAGTATTACAACTTTTTCTTCCTCTCCCCTCCTCCCTGAGAATACAATGCTTGATTGGTCATGCAGGCATACATACACATCCAGTATTTGTGTGAAGCTGTGTGAAAATACAAGATATCTCATGGACAAATATCTCACGTACAGATTATAATTTCTTATTTTTATGTATATGGTAATTGTCTTACCCACACTGGAAGGATGGAAATTCCATTTTTCTTTTATCTTCAGTGACTCCAGAGGTAAAAAATTCCTTGATCATCACTTATCCTAGTGCTGTACTTCATGAAATGTACATACAGTTCCAGAAAGTGTGTTAGAAATTGACTTCAGGGAATCTATTAACTTGCAAGCATGGCAGACTCCCAAGTGTAATTTATGGTTTGCAGAAATATGGGATGTTCATTGTCATCCTTTTTCTACTGTTAGGAATTATGTGTGTGTGTGGGTCTGAATTTATCATTTAGTCTATATAGAGGTAAGGTCAACAATGGCTAAGCATGTAAAATATATACCTTAAACTAGTTCTGTTTTGAAGCATCTCAAGATAGAGCAAATTAAGATTATGTGATCTTAGATTACCTGCATTTTAAATGCGAATTCTAAACAGCAGAATTCATAACAGGGCTTTATCATCCTGCCTTTTTCCTCCTCTTTAGATCATGTCGTGTGTGTATGTATGTATGCACGTGTGTGTATTGGTATAGCTTATATGCCATTATTCTCAACAGTATTGTTTCTGGCAGTACTATGAAAGTGTGATTGGATAGAAAAAGTGCTCAAGAAGCTCTAATAGATTTCAATCCCATCTGCCTGCTGCTCTGTTTTGCTCTGAGTCAAGTATTTTTTCAAGCTGATAATTGAAAACCTATCTTGTTCTTACAGAATGGCTTTGCTGTTGTAAGGCCCCCAGGCCATCATGCTGAAGAATCAACAGCCATGTAAGTACCAGGGAATATTGCCCATCTTGGAGCACTAAGGTTACTGGCAATCACCTGCATTGTGCATGTCTCTGAAGAACTGTAATTGCTAGCAGATGACTGAAAAGGCTTTCTAGGTACTCCCAGAAGCAGATTTATGGCCTCAGAGATCATATAGCATTTTTTTAAATGCTCTGAACATTATTTATAGCTGTTTTCCTGACTGATTTGCTTTCTTATTTCTGTTCTTCTCTATTCCACAGGGGGTTCTGCTTTTTTAATTCGATTGCAATTACTGCCAAATACTTGAGAGACAAGCTAAATATAGGCAAGATATTGATTGTAGATCTGGTATGTATTCTTGGCAAGCATCACACTCAAAGTGCATCTAGATGAAAGATAATGAATTTGTATTTATAAGTCCGACTTTCCTGCTTTTAATACCTACAAGTTATAAAGGTGTGCATTTCCTCTGATTTTGGGAACTCATTAAAGCCAGGATGGCAGTACTGAAGCTATAAACATCTATGTTTCACTTTAATGGTGTTAACTGCAATTTAATGAGAAGAAGGCACAGATCAGGGCAACTTTTATGGTCCTTAAATGAATTGATACTTCCACTGTTAAAATAACCCTACAGAACCCAAGTTTACTTTTCCCTACAGAATAGAAACTTTAAGTAGTCAAATATTCTTTAAAGAATGTTGTTACATTGGTAACAAAATTGACCGCTTTCCCCAGTTCGCTATGATTTGACTTGTTGTGTAACTTTGATATTATTAAACAATTGATGGGTCATTCCCCCCAAGAAATTTTCTAGTCATGTATTCCAGGTTTTGGTGGTTCCCTGAAGAAAACCTATGTGATTAAAAATCCACTTCATTGGATTAGTCTTGCATTTTAATAAAAGGCATTTTTACACAATACTTAATACGTTTAACAAATGGATTATTTAAATACAGATGACATTTGGCATGTTGGCTATATTATTTTCATGAATAATGAATTGGAGCTCTGCCTTGCACTCAAAGGATCAGCCCAACGCACAGCCCAAGGAAAGTTGAATGCTGATTTATGAGCACCATTTTTGTTTTCCTACAGTTCATGACGAGGTGTAATAGGGTGTCTGACAAAGCATAGACAGGAAATGAACCCTGGCATCAAAACCTAACCTGTTACATCTGCACTTAATTAATTTTTGCAGGTGATAAAAGATTTAAAGACAAAATATGTTAAAGGGTTTTTGAAGTGCAGGGCTTAATAGTCTAAATCTTGTTCATATCTGCACTCATAATTAAATCTTATTGTGGAGTCATGGCCTTACCATCTAGCACTTTTGTTCAGTTAAATATGCGTACTGACTGTTGAAGAGAAGCAGAGAAAGGGGGGAGTGTGGGAGAAGGAATGGTAAGTGAAAAATGAGTGGCAGACTAAGTATATGTGTAGATTAAATATTCTTAGAATGTTTTTGAAATATTTCTCAAATTGTTCTACTGTCATTTAGAAACATAATTATAAGCTGCCAGAAACTATTATTTCTGAAAAATTCACTTCTACTATATGTTGTGTCTGTTTGCTGACTTGAATCTTTCAGTTCATTGCTGTAAATTCTGGTCAAAAGTGAACTCTCTGTTTATTCTCACTTTTTAATAGGAAAAGTCTACTCAAAGTTTGTGAATGTTCTTAAGTCTTTTTGCCTGTAAATGTTATATTTGCCTTGTTGAGAAAAAAAACCAAAACACTTCACTTGGATATACTTAGCCAATAAGCACTTAGAAATTCAGCTTCAGTTTTGCAAGGCAAGGTTAAATGTGCAAATGATTACCTGTGAAGCTGCCTATCTTTACCCAGGAAAGTAGATGGGGAATTTTCAGCCTTTCTGCAACTGTCCCATTGACCAGAATAACTCAGCTGGTGAAAAGGAAGAAATATATGGCTGACACAGATGCCTTCATTCCTGGAGCAATTGCAGTCCAGTCCCTAGTCTGCTCCATTATCAGAGCAGTGATACACAAAAAATTCATATGGAAAATTTCTTATGCATGCAAACTGTGGATAAATCACAGGCCAAACTGAATGAATGAACAAGTTAATAGTGACATCTTTATTCCCACCAACAGAGTTTGGGGCATCTGAGGAAAGAATGGAATTACAGATGTTAGACTTGAAATTAACCTTTAAGATTATATTTTGATAGTGACTAGCACAGCAGGAACTCATGCAAGTTGGCAAGCTGTACATGTTACTACAATATCAATATTAAAAAGTCATATCCAATCCCACACACTAAAATGTACTCTAGTTACAAGTTAAGTGTAGTCTTCATAGCTGCTACGTCTTCATATATAAATTTTTGACTTTTTAATTTTCAATCTTCCCTTCATCTATTTAGTCTATTTATATAGTAAAATAAAAGACCTATCTGACAGGATTTTTTCCTCATTCCACCATTTGCATAAATCTCTGGTTTTGAACTGAGTTACATACCCTGAATACATTTGATCTACTAAGGGCAGAATACAAACTCATTTCCCTCATGCTAACATCCGCAGTCTTAAAGAACACATTCCTTTGTCTAATTGGAGACGTTACTGCTCTTCAAAAAAGAGCTCTTAGTGGAATCAAAGTTTAAACAAGAAAGCTAGCTTGAGATTTGAATAATTTAAAAGAAAATAATAGCAAAAAAAAAAGTCTCTATCCCCCTTTAACACTTTTCCTTCTGTTTTGGAAACTGTAACAGAAAGAATATATCTAAAGCCCCACATATGTATGGAAAAGAAAGATGAATTAAAATAACAAAGTGAAGTCCTATTGTGTCCCTGCAGATCTATCTATGTGACCAGCATAGCTTGTCAGGTTGTTGAAATCTTCATTCCAGGATCATCCATACTTGCATTTATGCTAGTAGGATTTGAGTCTATTTTGGAGTAAACCAATTAACTCTGTCACAGGTGAAGACTGAATGGGATTCTGTGATTAGTCTGCATGTCAGATTTTACTTCATTTGCCAGTCAGAACCATCTGACACTAGACTGGCTGCCTTGAAATATTCAACAGCCTCATACCAGTGTGTTCTTTGCACATCTCACATGTTACATTTAACCTTGGTATTAAGTCACAGCTCGGTTGTAACTCCATCCGTGTGTTGTTTCAAGTACTTTCAACATAGAAAAGAAAAGAAACTCTTATAGTACTACCCTACAGAGGTCCCAGAGGAGGTCCAAGTCAAGCACAATGCAGTACAAGTAAGACTCAATCAATGCAGAGAGTTCTGAACAATGTGGGTGAAATGGGCTGCTTCAGCTGGCAAGGAGGACAAGCAATGTTCAGTGCTTGCTGTGCTATTGGTAGTGCACACCTTGAGGTACAGCTTGAGCCCTCCTGGAGTAGGCATAGTGAGGAGCATGTGACTTCTGTTTCGCAGACACTAAATTGGATTTAGATCTCATAACATTTGTAAACCAAATACAGACTGGGTGACAGTGACAGTGTTGCCATTCAGCATACTTCGTCTGTCCCCCTTAATTCTCTAAATCAGAAATTTGGGATGGCTTAAAGGAGGAAAACAAAAAATATCTGTAACTTTTCAGCTTCTTAGAAATGCCAGTGAAGAAACATTTTTTTAAACTTTTACTGAAAGACAAGTGGATTTTCCATTTTCACTTGTAAAATTTTTGAGTGTCTAACCACATAGAATAGTAGTGAACTGTGAAAACAAACTAAAAAAAAGGAAATGTCTGCATCATCAGCCTTTGTTTTATAGATATACTGTCAGCATTTCTTTGCCAGCCTTTTATTTAAAGACAGAATTTTATTCACTGTCATTATATAATGTTTGAAATACGGAGACTGACCAAGGTCACTCCTTGATTGTGGAAGGCACCATCCTATCTGCCAGATGATTTAATAGCTAATGAGATCATATTCCTATGTCTTCAACTGTTGCCGTCATGATTTTGCCAAAATGAAGTATGAAGTCCTTTCTGCATCTGGCATCTCTTTTGATGTGGATCTAACTGCTGAGGGACTGAACAGAACTGAATGTTTCAAGAAAGCCAATTTACTCAGCTGGTCGCAGAGCCTTTGACCTCAATAGTGGAACTTGGCAAATCAATGAATACTCTTATGTTTAGTGTTCTGTCAAGAATTGTGAAAAAGCTCTGTAAACCATAGATCCTTCTGCAAAATACTAGTTTGTAGTTTAAACATTAGTCTTTCTTCAGAGGCCAATGAGGCTAGTTAATTAAGCCTGAGGGGTTATGAACTGTTGGCAGTTAATAAGTCATAAAATTCCTCCATAAAACAGGATGCTAGATTCCATCACTGAGGCAAGGAGTACAAAGAGCCGGTGTATAAATATCTAATTGTACAAAAGGACTGGGATTTCTCAATGACTGCTCATCTGGAGTCTCCAGGGCACGCTCGCTATGGTTTCCTGATTTTTAGAAGCCAGTTTAAAAAATGAGTGCATTAAAGAGTAATTTGCCTGAAAGTTCAGGAAGTATGGGGTGGTGAAGGGAGGGGGAAAGGGAAAGACAAAAGGAGGGCAAGGGAGAGGGAGAGAAACTGAGAGAGAGAGAGAGGAGGGGGGTGTAAAAGAAAGCAGAACTGAGCTCTCTACACTGAGTTGGACATTATTACATTTGTCATCTGTTTTCTTTCTCCTTTAGGATGTTCACCATGGCAACGGTACACAGCAGGCTTTTTATGCTGACCCCAGCATCCTGTATGTTTCCCTCCATCGCTATGATGAAGGCAACTTCTTCCCCGGCAGTGGAGCCCCAAATGAGGTTAGGTTTATTTCTTTAGAGCCCCATTTTTATTTGTATCTTTCAGGTAATTGCGTTGCATGATTACCCCTAATTTTCTTGTCCTTCTCTGGTTCTCTAAATTACACCAGATTACCAAATTGTCTACTGGGAGCAGGGGACCAGTGGAGAACAAGTGCATAACCCAGAGCAGTCCTTGTCAAACAAGGCTGATCTGACATGTTGTTTGATGTTTGTTTCTAATGCACATTTGAGAAATTTTTTCTTCTCCTGTTTCCCTCTCTCTTTTCCTTTTCCTTTTTCCACTTTTTCTCTGTTTTTGGCATTTTATTTCTTTTTTTCAGGTTGGAAGTGGCCCTGGTGAAGGGTATAACATAAATATTGCTTGGACAGGTGGCTTGGATCCTCCTATGGGTGACGTTGAGTATCTCACAGCATTCAGGTTGGTACCACTTAAGAGTCTTGAAAACTGTTTGTAGAGCAAAAGTGCATGAATAAGAGCTAATGTAATATTGAAAGTCAGGAGAATAATCCATGATGAAAATAAATTAATCCTGGAATCCCCGTATATGAGAGTTTAGTAAATTTTAAAAATGGTAATTTTATAGTTGTGATCATCCATGCAGAATCAACAAAAAATTTCTAATTATTTAATGGATCACTTGTGTTTTCATCATTATGCCATGCCAGTAAAATTACTTTGAGCTTGCTTACTTCTCTATCTATAAAATTTAAATGTAAGTATTTATGCCAGGCAAAAGAAAACTACTGCTCACATTCACATTGATTGCAGTTACATGCCAGTAGAGCAGACAAAAAGCAATATGAAGTATGGTCCAAATCCAGTGTTCTTCACTCACTTAAAAGACTCATTATGATGCTCACAGATTTGACAATTCGGTTTTTTTCCTAAAAATTGCAGTAAAGTGTTATTTAATTAAAATAAATAATTTTTATATACTGCAATAAGAATGATAGGAAATGTTGCATGCTGTATTTCTCTTTGCTCGCTCTTTGAATATTCTCAATAGCTCATTCATAAATGAAATTTTATTCCTTCATAGGTGATGCTTCATTGTCTATTAAGTCTTATTTTCATGGGACCAGAGGAGATAAGAATAGGCCAAAAGTGTTTCAGTGCCCTGTCTTAGATACACCATTTCCTTTCACTGTAAAACAATCCAGTGGAAGGATTTAGTGAAGTTTAGGAAAGGTGTAGGGCTCATCTTTCAAATTTGGGCAAATACTACACCTCTGAGTTTCATTTGAAAAAGAATGATATGCCAGAAAGGCAATGAGAAAACCAACATGTATCTCTAATGTATTTCAAGACATTTAGTTTAAAGTAGTGCAATTACCTTATACAGTTTTTGACTATACTCTATTGAAAATACACCACAAAAACCCATCAAACTCTTGTTTTGTTTGTTGGAGTTTTTGTTTGTGTGTTTTTTGTTTTTTTCCCAAAGAACTTCTGTGCAGCCCATGAAATAATATGCAGAGTTTCTAATAAACAACACGCCTGAAATCAGAGAAATATCCTTACATACTCACAGTATCCCACTGTTTTTGTGGAAAAAGTTTTAATTTTATTTACATTTGTCTGTATCTAAAAAGAGTCTAAACAAATGGTAAGTGTTGGGCTCCAAATTTTCTACACTCAGTAGTGCCTCAAGCTCTTTCCAAGATATTTCCTATACTTCCATAAGATTTTTACATAAGTTAAGGAACTGAATGGTTCAAATCACTGGTATTAGTGTCTGATACTAATATATCTGGTATTTCCACCCCAACATTCTTGGTTTGGATCCAAACCGTCCCACTAATGATATAGGTAATGTGGCCATCTAATGATGCAGAGAATGGTGGTCTCAGTTTATTCAACAGACGACTCACATACTGAGACTGTAACCATAATTGGTACCGCTGTTATCCTGATGAAAAATACCTGGGCTTAATAGTGCATTTACAAATATGTACTTCACAGTTCTATTTTTAGGCACACTCATAAATTGTTTGGAGCAGCTAGTGTTGCTGCTATTCCTATTACTCTGCTTCAGAGTTAGAAGAATTTTCAGTCTCTGTTCCTAAGCAAAGCAACACTATTCAGGAAAATAAAATTTGTGTAACTTATTACGCTCTTACTAATCATTTGCATAAACTTAACTATATCTTTTTAAGGCAAAGAAATTCAAGTTTAAGTTTAGAATCTGCTTTTTGAAAAAAACTGCTGAAATTTAATGTTGCTATTTTAAATGCATCCATTTAACTTTGTGATTAATGTTGTAATGAATGTGAATGTTTTTCTCCAAGCAACAACAGGAAATGTTTCCCTACACTCTCAGCCCCTTTTGACCTGATCACAGGCTGTGTGCCCTCTGTAGGTCTTGCAGAGATGGATTTAGTATTACAGGGATGACAGTTTTGAATGGGGATCATTGAAGTAAAAAGCATGCAACTTAGAAGGGTAGATACAAAAATTTGTGAATTACTTAGGACAGACCAGGTAGCTGTTTCTGTAGATCTGGTCTGAGTGGTAGGTAAATTTATAGCTGCTAGTAAAGAGATGCTTCATCCATGGGCCAGAATCTATCCTTGCTATTATCCAAAACATCATGGAAAATAGCAAGGATATTAGCATCATGATGTAGCCTAAGTTCTCAGTTTGGCCAGAACAGAATTGTGAGACTGGCAAGCATCCAGAAAAGTCCAGAAAATCAATAGAAGAGTTGTCATGCTCTCCCAACAAATCAGCTGTTGTTCTGGAGTTTCTGTCTACACTGAGTAAATTTTAAAGAAAATAAGTGAATTTCAGAGATAGGAAAATGTGATTTGTTTTTTTATATTAGATTACATGCGTTTATAGACAGACTTACAGAGAAAGTGCAAACTATGGTGTGGAGCAAATTTTGAACACCTTCAATTTAAGAGAAAAATAAGGGGGAAATAGAGATATTTTCTCTTCATACCTACCAGTAGACAGAGAGGTTGGGCAATATTCATTCCCTAGTCAAGGCAGAAGTGGATACTGGTGAAGGTCCTCTCCACTGTAACCAAGGTGTGAGTAAGTTTGCAGATGGCTGAAGCCTGTTTGGAGAGAAGCCAAGGCTTCCTGCTGGTTCCAGAGCCTAACCCTTTGAGATCTTAGGAACTGAAAGATTTGCATTAAAATAATCTAAAACTCTCCACCAGTAGCTGGAGACATAGCTTTCACTTTCTCGCCAACAGAGCCCTAATTTCATCCTAGAATTGCGCCAAAGCACATATTTGAAGTGTCACCAGCCTTGACACTAGGTAGCTTGTTATTACTTGATTGACTGTCAAATTTCACAGCAGAGATCCTTCTAAATTATAATGTCCACAGAAAAAGAGACCAAGGCTGTTTTTTCTGTCTCCAGAGTTCAGCTCATAACCAGGTATTATATATGACAATGTACTTGATATCAGTTTTCAGGTCAGAATGTATTTGTAGAAGCGTTTACACACATACCTATACATATGCAGGTAGCAGAATACTAGTTATTTCCCACAGCATAAATTACTAGATAAATCTATTTCATGTAAATTCTTCTAGGACTGAATAACATTCCGCTTCACTCTTCATCCAAACTGTTTGACAAAATATTTCTATTTCTTCAGGAAAAAACAACTTTTCATGTGTGAAAATGCAGAAAAATTTGAGCACAGAGTAATCACTTCAGAGGCATGCTGAGTGAGTCACTGTGCTGGGACTGTAGTGGAAAACAGGGAAAATTAGGGTGCTGGTTTGTGTCTGCCATTTTGATTTCAGCACTACATGAAAAGTTTATATCTTTGAACTAACTCTTTCTGTTGCAAAATCAAATTTAAGTGGCTGAAGATGAAGACTGCTCATTCATTTATAAAAATGACATGTTTTCATGTCTTTCTTATTTCTAGTAAGAAAATAAGTTTGCATTTGTTAACTACAAGGAGGTAGTAGAAAATGTAGGATACAAAACTTTCTGTAGAATGGAAAATAATCGCAGTAATCAAATCAATATGCCATTTAATTTTGCCAGAAAAGTGTTGTTTGATGTTTACCATAGTTAAGGAACTGGCCTAGCTACAAAAAAATCCTTGAAATAATGACAGTTTTCTAAAGGACAGGCATTCTTCTTTTCTCCTAAGATAACAAAAATGTACAGCTCTTTTCCATTATTTTTAAGCTCTGAAGTATCCCTCTAGAGAATTTGTTTCATCATTTACTTCCACCTATTCAGGTTAAATTTGCTTTAATCTCTTTGAAAGCCAGAGGTGGCTGTTTTCTAGGAGGATGATTTTACACTCGAGTTTATGAGGATGTAATCCACTCTCTTCTGCCAACAGTTCTAAAAAAAAAAAAAAATAAGAGCAATGGTTGACTAGTAATGTTCAAATAATTATTTTCATAAGCTCCACATTACACCAGATGTGCTCAGTAAAGCAGGCAGCAGAATGAGCCTCAGGTCTGTGTTGTACATGCACATATGTCTCTGCATGTACTTGGAGCTTGCAAGGGACAGGAGAGATGTGTTTCTGTGGAGTGGAATACGGAAGATGCAGAAGGCGATGGAAACAAATGAGAGTGCTCACAAGAGTGAAGGAGAAGCAAGAGACAGAAGGAAACTGGGCTGTACCTTCCAACTGCTTTGCACTGCTTTTATTCAACAAAGGAGTTGTAAATTTAGCTGAACCAGCCAGTATGCTCTGGCTGCTTTGCACTACTCCAGAGTAGCATAAAACAGCCACAGCATATTAATGAAGCTGGCCATAAAAGCTTGCATAAAATGAAACATGTATTTGTGTGTGATTCTTGGAATGATTAGCAAGAGCTCATGATAATATTATCTTTTAGCAGTTATGTGTTTGATTTTAATTTAAGAAGGGGAGCAAATTCAAAAGAAATAGGTGGCAATAAGGCAGAGTTAAGGATGAGCTTTATCCATTATTTAATTTAAAATACATTTGTAATTACCCCCAAAATATAATTTTAAACCAAGTTCAAAATTAAAATCATGGTTGAAATTACGTGTGTTAAAATGTAAAAATGAAAGAAAACAAAGATGTGCAGAAAATCTTCATCCTGTCTTGCAGTCCTTAGTGGTTGTTTTGGGAGAAAATCAATATGTTTAAAACTGTCTGTATTCTAGTCTGTGCTCAAAAATATTAACAAAAATATTCCTTGTCATCTTTTGGCCATACAGGGCACAATTAAGTTCATTTGAAATCTTGTATTGATGTACACAATTTGGTTTTTTTCCATAGTTTACCATTTCCAGATCTCATGGTATTTAATTTTGACATTTCAAATGAAAAACTCTGTAAAAAGTACTTTTGATGTTTTTGTATATATTGTCCTGGTTAACTCTGTTTCAGCATAAATATTGACTGTAGTTTTTCTTTACTATTTACATTAGAATTTAACTCATAAATGCTAAGAAG